GGGCTCAGGCAGTCCACTCACCTCAGCCTCCTAAAGTGTGGGATTACAGGCTGAGCCACCGAGCCCGGCTGATTTTTTTTTTGTGTGTGTGTGACAGAGTCTTGCTAAATGGTTCAAGCTGGCCTCAAACACTTGGGCTCAGTCTCCTGAGCAGCTGAAACTACACCTTCATACCAGTATACCTGGCTCCATATGAATTTTAAAATTAGTTTGCCGTGACCAGGAGTAGTGGCCCACACCCATAATCCCAGCACTTTGGGAGGCTGAGGTGGGATAATTGCTTGAGCCCAGGAGTTTGAGACCAGCCTAGGTAACATAGTGAGACCTCATCTCTACAAAAAAAATAAAAAAATTAGCAGGGTATGGTGGCACATACCTGTAGTCCCAGCTACTTGGGTGACTGAGAAGGAAGGATTTTCTGAGCCCAGGAGGCTCAGTGAGCCATGATCATGCTACTGCATTCTAGCCTTGGGAACAGAGTGAGACTCTGACTCAAAAAAAAGTAGCTTGCCACATTTCTATAAAAACTTAAGGGGGTTTTGATTATGATTGTATTGAATATGTAGATCAATTTGTGGAGAATTAGCTTCTTAATGATATTTAGTGGTGCAGCCTGTGAATATGGTATATTTCTCCAATTATTTAGGCCTTCTTTAATTTCTCTCAGTAGTGTTTGTAATTTTCTGTATACAGGTCTTGGCACTTTGTCAGATATGTCTCTAAGTGTCTCATCATTTTGAGGGCTCTTATGCATATTGATTTTTTAAATGTCAGTTTCAGATTGTTTATTGCTGTATATAAAAATTGCAGTTATTATGTATTGTTCATATAGTCTACAATCTTGTTAAACTCAATTATTCTTTTTTTTTTTTTTGAGTTGGTGTGTCACTCTGTCGCCCAGGCTGGAGTGCAGTGGCACACTCACAGCCGCCCCAGCTCGACCTGCTGGGCTCAGGCGATCCTTCTGCCTCAGCCTTCCAAGTAGCCGGAACTACATGCACGCACTACCACACCCGGCTAGTTTTTTGATTTATTGTAAAGATGAGGTCTCGCCAGATTGCCCAGGCTGGTCTCGAACTGTGGGCTCAGGCATTCCTCTCACCTCGGCCTCCCAAAGTGCTGGGATTACAGGCTTGAGCCACTGTGCCTGGCATTGATTCTATTTTAAATTTATTTTTATTTTTTAGAGACAGTTCTTGCTCTGTCATCTAGACTGGAGTGCAGTGGCATGATCCTTGCTCACTGCAGCCTCGTACTCCTGGAGTCAAGTAATCCTTCTGCCTCAGCTTTTTGAGTAGCTGGAACTATAGATATGCACCATCATGCCCAGTTAATTTCTTAAAAAAAAATTTTTTTTTGTAGAGACAGGGTCTTGCTTTGTTTTCCAGCCTGATCTTGAACTTCTAGCCTCAGTCGATGCTCCTGCTTTGGCCTCCCAAATTGTTGGGATTACAGATGTGAGCTAACCTTGCCTCATTTGTTAGTTCTAGTACTTTTTTCTTTTTTTTTTTTTCCTCTGACACACCATGTATCCACCTAAGCAAAATTAGCACTTATTCTTTAATGTTGTCAAACATTCAGTTAGTATTCATATTTTCCCAACTGTTTTATATATATATATATTTTTTTGAGTTGGAGTCTCACTCAGTTGCCCAGACTGGAGTGCAGTGACTGCTCCCGGCCACCGCAGCCTCGCCTGCTGTGCTCCGGTGATCCTTCCGTCTCAGCCTTCTGAGTAGCCGGAATTATAGGCATGTGCTACCATGCCCGGCAGATTTTTTGATTTATTGTAGAGATGAGGTCTCGCTGCCCAGGCGGTTCTCGAACCCGCGGGCTCAGGCAATCCACTCACCTCAGCCTCCCAAAGGCGCGGGATTACAGGCTGAGCCACCAAGCCCGGCGCAAGGGTATGTTTATTTCCATTACATATATATGTGTATATATATGTGTGTGTGTATATGTGTGTGTGTGTGTGTGTGTGTGTGTGTGTGTGTGTGTGTATAAATAGGTTAAATTAAGAATAATCTGTGACTTAAAGATTTGATAAAACTTTATTTTATTTTATTTTTTGAGTTGGAATCTCACTCTGTCACCCAGACTGGAGTGCAGT